ACGGAATATTTTGGGAAACCAAATATGGTTAATTTACAACGCTAAATATTTCGAAATGTGAACATTTTACACTCCTTGTGTGTCCGTTACGGTTTCTGATGATTTCTGCCATGAGACGGCTAGGGTATGTACAAAGTTTTAAAACATACATATTTCGCTTTTGAGCTTTTTGCCATGAACGCTACCCCGGCTAGGCGGGTTACCCCGCCTTGAGACGTTTACATAGCAAATTGCTGACAGGGTTACCCTACCTGGCAGACCGGGCAACCCGCCTAGGCGGGTCACCCCACCTATCATGCAAACGTGATCAAAATAAAACAAGAAATTATATTGACAGGCGACCTGAGGTCCCCCACCTCCATCTAAACAGACCCTAAATTTAATGCCGGACTTTGAGTTCGTCTCACGATAGAACAACACAAATACACAAGGAAATTTTTACAGTAACTTTATAACCATCCTTTTGTCTTTTAAAAGCTAGAAGCTCAGTAGATTCTGTTATATCGGTCACTGTCTTTGTTTTGGTGCTACTTTTCGACATAGTAAAAGTATGTCGGACAATTATCTAGGACATATTGGGCTACAAAATATGAAAGTCGGAGAGAAAACGAATTTTGGGCGACTTGCCACAATATTTCAAATTTGTTCGATGGATGCTGACATCCTCTCTTAAGAAACTGTGGTGCTACGTCGGTGGGGGAGTATAACACCCGCCATGACAAAGGGCTAACGCTCGAAATTCAGCTTTGAAACTCTTTACGGGGGCAAATTAACATTATCAACTCGGTTGATAAAATCAAAATCATCTGAGTCATTTTTACCCTAAACTAAACTAAGTCATTTCATCCCCAGTCGATGTCATGTCGCTATCTTGAGCGTAAAGTCTGCGAACAGGTATATGCTTGTCCGCGAGTCATACTTTAGCAGAATGTTTTTAGAAATGGTCTTCTGGTCATCTGTGTATCTCAATTTACTCTGATTTCCCTCTACTTTAGAAGGTCAATGGCAAGAAGAAAAACAACCACGAAAACCAGAATAACTAATCAGACCAAAAAATTTAGTTGCTTACTTGGTTGACACAGCGCTTGAGAACCCTTGTCATCCGACTGACATTGAGGTGGAATATTTAACTTTCCATCGATGCGATCGCATGATGCAAGTTCAAACTCTTCTCCGGTGCAAGAGACATCGGACATTGCAAAAGGTATTCCCTCAGCCTTTATGTCTGACCCAATGAATTCCGCCAAAGCCTCTTCAAAGCCAAGTTGACGACAAATAACTTTGACATCATTAAAGTCCCATTTATTCCTACATATCTTTGCCCATTTCCCCTTGTAAAACACTTCCACTCTTCCTCCATACTCCACATTTGCGCCATTCAAGCGAACAGGAACTTATGAAATTACAAAAAGTTCAATCCGTTAAGATGGAAAACACTAATTATCATGAATCAAGAATGCCTATAAATCACGAAATGATAAATAGCTCACGCCTGTCTAAGTGTTTTTTAAGGGAAATTCTGGGTGCAAATCATTCAGTATTCGAACGTTGGCCGCATCGTTCGTTGTCACGATGTGGTTTCCTTGCTGCAATGTTTTACGACAAACCTCTTTTTCATTGCTTCGTGACTGCGTTTTAAATTGTAAAATTAGATGTTTTTTCAACAATTTTGGAACATTCAAGACGTGTTTTCTTTGCCTTCGGAGAACACAAAAGGGTGATTTACATTTTAAACTAGAATTTTAAAGCATTTCTCACGGAATAATCAAGAAAAAGGCGTTTAGTTAAGTATAAATGAGGTGAAAAATTGTGAAATTCCCTAGTTACACGAAAGAGAGAGAAAAAAGGAAACTAGAAGGATGCAATAGTTTTAAGGAAACTTGGTGAAGGGTTTGGAGGTTATGAAGTTCATGAAACCCAAATGCATAACTGCGCAGCTAGGTTCTTCTTTCGGCAGTAATTCAACTATAATCGTCTTAGGGTGTAAACAATAGAAACCCGCTACATTTTTAGCGATAGATACCTTTTTAGAACCTAAAAGATACCCGAAGATGAACAATCATTGATCTCGGAAAAATTTTCTTATCTGGAGTGTGAGTAAATCTATCAAGTTACCATCTTTGGAGATCATGTGGATATTACATGAGTGCAATTCATTATTACCTTTGCAAAATTGTTGTTTCTTTTCCAAGTTGTTTTGACATGTGGTGGGAATGATACAGTTGTAGTGAGTGGACATCTCTGAGGAATTGCCACGTTCTGCGTACCTTGTGTCATTAGCATACACAGCGTTGCTATAATAGCCCATGGCCATGCAGGTTGAATTTTCATCTGCTTCATCCCATTGACTGGTACAAAGCTTTTGCCAGCTGCTGTTTGAGAATATCTTCATTGTACCGACAGATGGGTTCTTCTCTGTTTCAAAACGCAGGGGAAATTCTTCAAATAATATAAATCAGTTCCATTCATTTGTTGTTATTCTAGCTTTTATTCCTGAATTAGTTCATTTTTGTTTCAACAAAGAAGTTTTCATCCACTGAAATCAGAAAGGCTACAATTTGTATGTTACCTTCTTGGCAACTGGACATGTTGCTACATTCTCTTAGCATTGCTCCGGTCCCATCGTAGTGTTTCCCACCATGTGCTGGTTCTGGATTGGCGCATTCTCTCTGTCTTGTTTGTATACCACCAACTGGTTTGCTACAGATACTCCAGGAGCTCCACTCACTCCAGCCACCATCCACTAACGTAACAATGTTGTAAACAGAAACATTTGATAAACAACCACAGACGACATTTTCGGATCATTTAACAAAATAAAGTATGTAGGACAGTGGTGCAGTCTTTATTTCTACCTTTCTCTATAATTACTTTGAATGTTTATGTTAACATTTGGTTACGGTAAACTCATTAATTTGGTATTTGGCGCGATGCCGTAGGGTTTGCAATAAACTTATCGAGACACGCTTGTGAGAGCAAAAACATAATTTGAAGGCGATAATGCGATGGGGAATCCGTGCCGGTCTGTCTTTACCTTTATTCCCATGTTGATGGTTTCCAGACAGACCCCGTCCTTTATGTGCAAATACTCTGGCGTGCATAATCAGTTAATGTACAAATGCACAATACACAAACTTTAGTTTAAAAACAACATTTTAAGCCCTCTTTTTTAGGGGGAACGAAAACAAACACAACGGGAAACCGTAACAAATTTTAATTATGAGTCTCAGTAGCTTTTCAAGCGAATTATGCAGCAGAAAAGGCCTTCCTAAAAACTCAGTCTCACCTTCAGATCAGGTAAAATCGAAATGGTCTGCTTCTTATTGGTTCCCTAACCAACATCAAGGATCAATAGGAATAATGGGAACTCGATCCTCAAGCCTAACGATCTACGTATAAAAATTGTCACAGAAGCAATTCCCACTCGGGAACGGAATTGAGAACACCACTCTACCTTTCCCTGAAAGACCTCGCTATTGCAACACTATCTTCAAACTACAGCTGAAGAGACTCGTGAAGTGTCGAAACCGTCGATATTGTTGTAGCCACTGTGAACAATTGCACCAATGTCCGCCTTTCACAACTCTCTAACGGAATAACTTATACAAAGTCTTGGTGGAGAAGACGAAAACAATATCTCACAAGAAAAAAACATGTAAATAGGCAAACGCTCAAAGGAAAGCACTCGGCGAACATTATAAAAAAACAATGAAAAAATAGCCAAATTAAGGAATGAGATTTATGACTTTAAAGAGCTTATTTATACACTCGCAAATAAAATAGATGGAAAATATAAGTGTGCTTGTTAAGCAGTATACTATCTAGATATACGATGAATAAACACGTGGGCAGACATTATGAATTAATTTATTCTCACCCCCAAGCACGCGTTGATACGGGAACTTTAGAATGTGATGCAATCATGTGCGAGTAACGCAACGGTGACATGACATCCCCCCTCGTCAAAAGAAATATATATATATAGACACATATGCAAATATAGACAAATAGTGCCTCCGAAGTCTAAGACAAATTAATGTGACCCATTGTTCAGTAATAATAAGATAATACCAAGAAAAAGAAGAAAAATGTTCCAAAAGCAAGGCACTGAGGATATGGAGTGCTCTTGTTTGGTTGCACTCTGTTAGCCCACTTTCTTGTAAAGTTCGTAGTCATTAAACTTCTTTGGCTCTCAGGATATCGTCTATTAGACAACTTACTGGGATGCCGGGGTGGGCAAAGTGGGCTTTGGTGGGCACGACGATGGTGGTGGATTGAGTGTTTATCAGCTGGTCCAACTCATAGAAATCACTGCAATAGTCTACGGTGACTAGGTACTGCTTATGTTGGAACTCAAATATGTCCTGCGAGATGAACAGCCGAGGTCGTGTAGGGACAGGATGGGATAGTATGGTCAGTGGCGGCTTGCTTTCCACACTGGGAGCAGGTAGGGCAAACTAAAAACATGCTTATATGTGAAACGAAGGCAATATTCTGCTCCCCTATGGTAGTAGTGGTTTTTGCTCAGCATACTTGGTCTGAGAGAGGTAGGAACGATGGCGCGAGTAGACTTAAGAAGAATATCATTTACAATTCTGAGTTCTTCGCGAACCGTTGAGGGGGTAATGCTGCAGCTAGTGCATGTCAGGGCATGATGATGTGGCATTGCGTAGTTGCTCGCGAGTGGTATTGGTGAGGGCCGTTGAGGTGGGGTCCAAGCGAGCAAGATGAACGTGAAACACACGGAAGGTGTCCGACATGGATGGGTTGACGGCTTCGTCTTGACATGGGGCTCTGGATACGGTGTCTGCTAAATGCAAGAGAGAACCTTTTTTGTACACAAAAGTAAAGTTGTAACACTGTAGGAAAAGCAACATCCTCTGCAGACATTTAGGCGCTAAGGCGAGGTCCTTCTTGAAGATCAACTAAAGGGGTTGGTGGTCTGTGTAGACTGTGTGTTGGATTTTCCCAAAAGCCATTGCTCAAATGTGTTGAGGGCTTCAACAATAGCCAGGCACTCCTTTTCGATTTGCGCATAGCGCTTCTCGGTAGTGGTTAGGCCTTTTGCTGTACGCAATAGGTCGCAGAGAAAACTCGTCAAGGGCGCTGCTACTGAGTGGTTTGATGGGTTGTAAGAGGGCAGCTCCTTGGCCATAGTCTGAGGCGTCCATTTGATTGATCAATGGCGCAGTTACGTCAAAGTATTCCAGGCATGCTGCAGAGGTGGCCAGGACTTTTGGTGAATCAAAGGCTTGCTGGTGCCTTATTGACCATAGGTACAGCATGTCCTTTTTTCTGAGGTTGCATTGAAGTCGGGTGACGCTGCTGAGTTGGGAACAGAATTTTGCCAGTTAATTAATAGCCTAGGAAGCGGCGCACTGCTTGGCTTTCGGTTGGAGTGGGCATGACGGTGATAGCTTTAACTGTGACCGGGTTGGGCTGGAGGCCATTCATGGTTGAAACATGGCTCACGGAGGTGGCTTTGGGAATAAGGAATTTTATCTTGTTGACATTCAGCTTGACATGACGTTGTTCAAATCCCTCAAGCACGGCGATAAGGATGCGGTCGTGGTCGATTGGACGTCATTAGCGCCGCAGCCAGGGATTAAGATGCCTAAATGGTTGTCTAGTCCATCTGTAGCGACCCCATGGTGTGACCATTTTGGTCATCAGAGATGATCTTAAGGACAAGGGTATGTTTTGCCTATTTGACATGTATTCCTTCCATGCAGCTAATGGATGTTTTCTTCCAAGGTGGAGATGATATACTTTGGACATCGAATGGCTTTATTGAGAGGCTGAGAGGGGCCTAAGCAGCTCCGTATTTTCCCGGTTTGGTGGGGGTTTGTTTTCGCTTTCGGTTGAGATACCCTTACCGGCTGACCAGTGGTTTCATACGCATCCAGGGCCGCTTTGATCGCATCCAGCTTTGAAATGGGCTCGCAATGATTGGGGGCACGGATGGGTTTGACATCTGGATCCAGGTCAAGACAGATGAGTGGGCCGTGGAAGCCCAGACCTTGAAAGAGTGAGGTCCAGTTCTTAGAAATGAATTCCACAGTGCAAGTCCTTAGTGTAGGAGAGTGAACTTGTTCTTCTGTGGTGGAATTAGCCAAAAGCTTATTTGTATGTTATGCCACCTCAAACGATATAACTTGATTCTCCACGAAAGCCAGGGTAAAAGGGGGATCCTCCGGTTTCCGTTGGCCATCTCTGTGAAATATGTCTTCTCGGAAGCGATTGAAGGATTCGTTGAGACCGAAGAGAAACTAATAAAATAACTAAATTCTTCCGCGTTTATGCCAAACGATAATCTCCCGACGGCGGTACTTACAGCGGTTTCTTACGTTGAAATGGAGGTTCGGTCTGCTTGTGACATGCTCAGTAGTGGTAGCAGTCTTGCATCAAACTACATGCACCAGCGTAATTTTCTTTGTTTTTTTGAAGCCAGATCCAGTGTTTTCCAGCATCATCGTTCGGTATCTTGGAAGCTATTTCGCTGTGTAAGGTGTCCCATTCAGTTGCAGGAATTGCTAACTCGAAGCGTCTCCTAGCGACGATGTAATGGTCCCCAGTCTCGGTGAGTCTGCTTTTAGCGGGGTTTCTGTAGCCTTCGAGTAAACATTAATCATGAAATCTGGTCTCCCAGTAACGGTTATGGTAACAGTTTGTTCGCACGGCTTGTACATCGAGGATAGACTTTTTGAATGTTCACATTCAATAAACAGAGCACACGCTCACTATTGAAATCTCGAGTGGGACAAGGAATTGTGGGTACGAAAACAAGTGGTTTGTGGGTAAAGTGCCAGGGCACCAACGAAAAATGTGTTCACACAAGGACTCAGTGCCCAGTTTAGTGCCCGAGTACAAGGTCGAGACCTTGTACTCGGGCACCGGCACCGTGCCCGAATTCTGGCGTGGGTACCAGGAAAAAAGGTGTGTTCACATTGGTGCCCGGCGTAGAATAGAACCCGGGAACGGTGCCCGGGCACCAAGTGTGAACACTGCCTCAGGTTCACGGCCAAAATCGGCCTATGGCAAATCTTTTAGCGCTCGATTTCCGTTCTCAGCCGCAAGAAATTTCATTATCAACGACACTGAATATGTAGGTTTCGGTTTTTTTTTTCGTATTTTGGTTTTCTTCCCCTCCTTGCAAAGTTTGAACGTCAGCAGCCATAAACCGAAAAAATTCGACAAAAGACCTTGGATTGGGAATTGTGAAGGCTTTGCTGTTTATTCATCAACCAGACGAAGTGGTGCGAAAGAGGAATGACGTTTCAGCATTATCAAACACACGTGAAAAAGATTCGTATTTTTCCAGCGTGTTGTTACGGCTTTTCTTAGGGCTGGAAATCCTTCTATAACACCACAGTTTACATGATAATCATGCAATATAACTGATAGCGTAGGATTGTTTACAAAATACTGCACAACTCGTAAAAATACTCAGCGATACCACACACCACAACAATGCACTTGATAATCGGTGATGTGTACGGGCAGGAACTTATTTCTCTTAAAAGATAAATCTACGTGTTCTTTTTGCCCTCAAATACATCTGCAAGGATTGTATTGCTAAAAACATAGCAAAACAAAACAATGTTGCCATGGTCGGTGAAGGAACCTCTTCCACCAAAGTATATATTAAAATCAGCGAGGAGCCATTATTTAAATTTTTATTGATCAATTTTTTGACGAATCACGGAAGCGAGGAATCTTGAGAAATCGACGAGTCATGAGACGGGCGCGTGAGAGCGACTTTTTCACTCCCGTCCCACAACCCCTTGCGTTCGTATTTGCTTAGTCCTCCGCGGCGTTTCGGATGATTATCTTTGAGAAAATTTAAGGTCTGTTAATAACTTAGTAGAATATATTTCACAGCAGGAAAACGCACTTGACAAATGGTCGCTTTTACAAAATTTTAAGCCACACAATGGAATACCTATCAGCAAGGTAATGGAAGAGTGAAACTAATAATACAAACTTACACTACTAGCAATGCAAAACGTACAGAAAGTATAGGCACCTAAGCAGAAATTGTTCATGGAGATACTATGTGAAGATAAGAATGTTAAAAAAAAATTGTTGATGTATGTATAGAAGAAACCTTTTCATCCTTGCGATAATTAATGCGAAAGAATACTGGCCTATTTAGTCAACTTTTCCTTCTGACAGAAGTACTTTAAGCTGGTTCTTTGTAATCTCTTTCTACGTTTCCGAGTACTTGAAATTTTTCTTTCCTTTTTTTTGCCTGATAGTTTTATTCCAATAAAGATTTAAGTTGTGTCCTCTACAAATTCTGAAAAGTCAGCAGACAGCTCTTTCGTCTTGTGAAACTCCTATTATTCAAAAAGTATGTCGGAAAGGGCGACATACCAGAAACATTTTTAGAAATCTCATTCAATACACACTAAAAAGTTGAAAATGGCCCATGAGAAAACTCCGATAATGCACCATGTGAATTGATTTGTCTTCACTGACCTAAATGCTGGACAAGTCGATGCAACATCGAAATTCCACAGGTCTCGTGGTACAATTACGATGTCTTTCATTGATTAATACACCAATAATTATTCATTTCTACTGGCTGTACAATTTTCGTGGCTAAGAACTTATGTTTGAGTAGTTGAGTTGAATGTTGGTGTGGTGACCCTGTGGTTACTATATATCGCAATAGCCGCGAGTTGTTGAGGTGGTTTCGTCACGGTTTACGCATCATTAATGACTAAGCTTGATATTCTAGACTATCACAAAATCATTTAAATAGTCTAGTGAGGTTCATATTCTTTTGAAATCCTCTTCTTCTTTAATTATCTGAAAAGGAAAAAGACGGTCTCATTGGGTTAGATCAGAGGTAGTATTGGTCTTTCAGGGAGTCCATTAATTAAATAAATTGAATTAGTTACGTAGTGAGGCTGCGTATCAAAATATCCAAATTATTTAAATTTGGAAACTCCCTGTGCTAGCTGAACTTCAAATTCTACCCCATCCTTTCCTGTAACATGACATGCGCGTGAAAAAGAAACCTTACACAGCTTTGTATCACATAAATGTTGCAAAGAAAAGTAAAGGTAATGATAAAAATGAATTGATCTTATATTTCAAACAGATGCAGATGCTATGAATAGTTGTAAAGTTCTGCCAAAAATGTTACAATATGATTGACTGCAAATCTCGTAATCCATATGATCAAGAGAAAAAATATCCCATTATTTTCTCTTGATAGCGAGTAGAACAAGTACCCTGAGAGTCTGTAGTTATATATATATATATACTGAAATAAGAAAACTAGAGCCCCTGTTTTTTAGTTCTGAACGACTAGTAGATTTATGATAAACAATTAAAGGTATATTATCTGTTATTGATTTCTATTGAGTGGTAGAAATGTCGAGCTCGTATTCTAATTTCTAAATGGATTTCCTATTGACTTACGTCCGCAGTTGGACTATTTCTTCTCTTTTGATTGAAATTTAGTAGAGTTTGGCGGGAAAAAAAGCAAGAATATATGATATACGTGCTAGGAATTTATGAGATTACCATGACAACCATACACTTCCACCCTCATCGCTGCCCATTGGTACCACGCGAGAGCTTGAAAACGAATATAACGCGCCGTGATAGGTGGGTCAAGGAAATGTGATACAACCGTGTGACTGTCGGTGTTTCCTGCAAATCGCTTCATGGTTGAAATAAAAAAAGAGATTGTTGTCATGTTTATCCTGATCCTAACCGATTCTTATATTCATCAGATAAAGGCAATTTTACATTCATTTCGTAATTATTGACAACGCAATATGTTATTTGCATCATATAAACATTCTTACATTTCGTTAGATACTGATTTTAGTTCTTGCAGAAAATAAATTGTATTATCAGATAAAGAAAATTTTGTATTCACTTCGTAATTATTGACAAAGCAATACGTTACCTGCAACATATATAAACGTTCTTACATTTCTTTACATACTGATTTTAGTTCTTGCAGAAAATAACTAGTAAAGTGCAATTACCATCGACACATTACAGATAAAGAAATCGTTCAAAATACGTTTATTTCATTAATTTAGTACTTGCTAAAATGCAACAGAAACAATTTTTTGGTCCCAGGACGGAAAACTGGTACACTTTGAAGAGCATTGTATTCATTGACTGAGTAGGGGAGCCTGATGGCCAGAGAAATAGAAATGTGTGGTTCGATTTAACGACGTCCGGCCCTGTGCGACAGGCGATTATCATTTGATCATCATATGACATGCCTTACTTGTCTCTCTTCTCTACTTATACTTTAACTCGTATCTATCGGGCTGAACAACTATTTCCGGTCTACTTACACCAGCTGTACGGCTCAAATACGGGGATTGTTTAATGATGCTGTTCAGAAATAATATGCGCGGGGCTGTCAGTGCAGGTCACATGAAAAGATTGAGTAAAGGAGACGCCCCAGCGTATTCGGACGCATTCGTCATTATATATTTTACAACATACTCAGTTGTTTCTCTGTCGGACCAACCCACCTTATTTGCATTTTGTTGCCCCTGTTCCTTGTAGTATATAAAGTCACTTGTGTCATTGCTGTACAGCAGCGAGTACTTTGTGACCCATTGAGCGGCGTCATATCTTCCTTGGGTAGCTATCAGTGTTATCCTGGTGTCCTGCCTCAGCAGATCAATCTGTAGCCAAGGGTTACGGTCTTCCGGGAGGGCTACCCAAGAACCCCTCTTGTCTCCAACTACCCTGGACTCTAGTCTTCCCAGAATGGCGGCGTGAATACGATTGAGTTCCGAAGAGGCACTAATTTGTGCGTTAGCAATTTCACCACTTTTCATTCCAAGAGCGCGACGACAATCTAATCAAGTGCATAATTAATCAAAGCCAAAAATAGAGGGTTACTGTTGCTATTCTACAAACCTTTCAACTCCTAGAAGTGATTAACGTGAAGCTTCTCCTGATACAGGGCTCGAAATAATTATTTAGTAAGTGTCGGCGATGCTGATTGGTTGAACATATTTTTGCTTGGTCATGACCCTATTTCTGTCATATTTGAACAACCATTAACACTAGCCCCAGATTACATGCTTTTAACTATCCTACGTCTTATGTTTGTTGAAAACAAACTCAACAGATGTCAGTTGGGAAAACATGCCGTAGTCCTCTGTTTTGTGAGGAAGACTCAAATTCGATGTGTTCAACGCAAGGTACAACGGCGAAGCTGTATATAATCAGTTTCAGAGAATGATTTTGAAAATGATTTAGTGTTGACACAAGATATCGCACTAAAGTGTTTTTCCATTACCATGACAACCGTACAGCTCCACTCTCATTGATGGCCAGGCATTCCAAGTGAGCACCAGAAATCGGATGTAACGTGCAGTGATTGTTGGGCTCAAGTCATGTGAAACAACAGTGCGCTGGTCTGTGTTTCCACTGAATTCCTAATTAAGTAATAGATAATAAAATATGTTTTTACGTTCCCGATGACTCGAATTGACATGCGATCATAAAAAAAAAGGAATCATGTCATGCTATAAAGCTATGCAAACTGATCTGATGCTATACAATACTTTGACAGAGAAGGTAAAGATTTTGAGGGAAAAAAGTTGCAAAGGGAACTGTTTTGAGTATCCTTTTAAGTTTGGGTCATCAAAGCATAAGGATGTGGTAAAAAAAAAACCAGGATAAATCACTATTGGTATGAGAAACTGAGAGAATTAGGCCCCGAGAGACTGCAGCTTATGTCGTAAAAACGGTCAATTTAGGTGACACTCACCTTGTTTGCACTTTGCCCTTGTTCTTTATAGAACAAAAAATGACTTGTATCGTTACTGTGCGACAAGGAATACTTTGTCACCCATTGGGGTGAGTCGTGTCTTCCTTGTGTCACTACCCTGACAGTTTTAATACGCTGCTTAATCAGATCGATCTGTAGCCATGGGGTGCTATCTCCCGGATGAGCCACCCAAGCGTCACCTCTCCACCCTGGCACGGTCTTGAGATGAAGTCTGCCTCGAACTGCAGGGTAAATGCCATTGTACTCTGAAGAAGCACCGATTTGCGAATCAGTAATTGCATAGCTCTCCATGCCAAGGGCTTCCATGCAATCTATATGATGCGAAATGATTATTACCTCTCAGTGAAAATAATACTTTCAATAAACCCTTCTCCAAACTGGCAATTAAAATCAATCATATGCCTCATTAACACCAAAGCTTAATACATGTTTTAAAGCTGTTTTGTTAGATGCGGTTTATAACTTTTTTTTCACCATAGGAGCTTCTTAAATCGATGTTTGTCGACTTCAAATTTGATACATTGAAAATGCAAATTAGTGACTAATTGAGACCTTACTTTCATTCAGTTAACTAAGTATGTTTTGCTGGTGTAAGTGGGGTAATAATAATAAGAAAAAAAATCCTCCTTGATCCTAAAAGTACTTCCAAAACAGTGCGTACTGACCATTAAAACAGAGTGTTTTCAAATAAAATTCTGGAAAAAAAGTAACAATTTCCTAAGTTTTTCCCACTTGCACCATTGCCATAGTATGCGAGATGGCGTGTCAAATTGCCATTATCTTCTCAAAGCTATTTCGCTGTCTTATCCCACAGACGATGAATTAAATTGCAATTGAAGTTACTGTTGAACCGATTATTTGCATTTTATATTATGTTGTACAGAATAAATTTAGAGAACCACGTAAATCTACATCAGCCCTTTATTGCTAGGTGCGTTAAGCCTTTGTAATAAAACTTATTTTTAAGCAAGTTAGATGGATATTTTCTCAGAAAAGGAAATTATTAAATAAAGTCTTAATTTAATTCTTGACACTAGTATTTGGTAATTTTTGTGAGTATTTTTTCCTGCCTCGTTTCTTTTGCTGAAACTCAAATCTCTACCCGGTCGTATATATAGATAGATCGGCTGGTACACTAATGGAAAATTTCAGTACAAAATGGCTATCGGCTTCTTAAAAATGATCATCGTTTTACACTTACTTTGACAGCCGTACAGGTTCTCTGCCTTTGCTTTACAACCTGCCCAAGTCACTGGTCGAAGAAAAGAAAATGTTATGGTAAAAGCATTATTGTCAATAACACAACTTTCAAAGTAACTCTCAGCTGAAACAAAGATATAAACTAAGAATTCTGGAGAAGTACAAGATGAATGTAAATAAGAAACTCATTACCATGGCAACCATACAGTTCCACCCTCATCGCATACCAGCTGTACCAAGTTAGAACTTGAAAACGAATCACTCGCGTGGTGATTGGAGGGTTCAAGTCATGTGGTACCACTGTAAGTCGGTCAGTGTTCCCTGTAAAATCCTGAGCGAGCAAAATGGAAAAAAAAAGTAAAATGGTGAATTTAATTGCTGATGGAATCCTCTCTAAAATCACGGAAATTAATTCTTCCCTAAGTGCCTTCGATTCTGGCTGAGTTGTCCTCAATTTTTTCTTTTAAGGATGTCAGTCGCATTTTGTTTCACCATAAAATTTTAAAGTGTAGCATTTGCTTTTCACCATAACTTTCCTCATCCGTAGAAATAGTTTTTCCTTCTTGCTGTACAAGTACTTCTTTTATATTATTTATCATCTTTTAGTGATATTTTGTAGATAGCTTTCCACAGCCTGAAGTGTGGTTTCAAATGTAATGACGCACGTCATGTTATCATACATCCTCGAATCGCGCATTGCATTTATTTGCTTTAGTGATAATATAGATGGTGCACTCTGATTGGTCATGTGAGATGATGGGAGACGATCATAGCAGAGGTATTTAACGTTCTGTATCTGATTGGCTGCAACTGGCCTCTTTTGAGATATTTTAAGCCTGCTTAACCTTCCCTTTTTTCGTAAAAGCACGTTAACACAATCAGTTTTTCGCTTATGTCATGTGTAATTTATAGATTGATTATGTGATCTAACCGCTGACTCCATGTATCTGTTCTTTGATACATGGCAAGTGGAAGCGAAAAAATAAAATGAATTTATATTTTCCTAAAACAACTTTTTGCCTCATGCTCATGCAGTAGATATTGCTAAATAATTCCCTCAACTTCGGCACAGGGAAAATTTAACAATATTTACTTCGCCAGCCACGAATAGCTGTCAATAAACTTTCTTACTAAAGGTCAGTATAAGCAGACATATCTGGCCCGACCTTTTTCACTCCTTGTTCTTTGTAGTAGAGCCAGGCAAGTGAATCGTTACTGTAAAGCAAAGAATACTTTGTCACCCAATGGGATACGTCATGCCTTCCTTGAGTTGCTATACCGTTAACTTTAGTATTCTGTTTAATCAGATCAATCTGTAGCCAAGGGTTGGTATCACCACCGGCGGCGGCCCAAGCTCCACATAATCCCCGTACTGCAGGCAGCAGATGTAGTCTGCCGAGTGGAGGGGCGTAATTACTATTAACTTCTGTAGAACCAGTTATCTGAACGTCAGAAATTGCGTTACTTTCCATACCGAGGGCTTCAAAACAATCTGAATGGTCAAGAAAATTGAAGTAAGTCAGATAAGTCAGATTCCGATATTGATTTTTAAAAGTAATAGCGCTTACGTTGGTCGATGGGCTTCATAAATGAGAGTATGTAGACACAATTTAACTATCGAGAAACTTTTGATGTTCATGAAGAAAGAGGAATTGCATGCTTTGATACAACTTCAGTGCTCATTTATGACTTGCTATTATCACAAAGGTGACACATTCATCTGGAAAGAGAAGAGATCTTCATAGAGAATGACCTCCTTTCGCGTTTCCGGAACCGTTCTATCACGGAGTAGGCTTTTTACTTCAAGTTGACGAGGATGGATTGTTACTTGAACTCACACACTGGAACTCACAGCGCTTTACAAGAAAAAAGGCAAAATTTTTCGCTATGGATATGATTAAAACAAAATATATTTACCACGGCAGCCATACAGCTCTACCCTCATTGCAATCCTTCCCTTCCAAGTCAGAGGTCGAAAACGAATGTAACGTTGCTTAATGACTGGGTTCAAGTCATGTTGCACTACACTGTGACGATCGGAGTTTCCAGAAAAAACCTATACACATCGGAAGGATAAAACTGTTATTAACGGCCTTATTCCCTAAGCCAAGACAACATAAATCTGAGATAATGGATTCCCCATCCAGGCTTTATTCCAAGGTTATTTCTTTTTCAGATATTTTTATTTCAAATCTGTTGCCGTAATCTTAGAAGAACCTTGATCTAGAAAAAGAAAATTTTGCTCACACGTGTTCTATTCATTTTCCACGTAAGCACGCCACGGGTAAAAGAAGCACAAGAGACATTAATCGCTACTGAGGAAAAATCTTGCAAGTGTGGATAAAAAAATGCTTATCTTAAAGTGATTCCTCAGTATTGCACGGCGCATTTTCCATTGCGCGTAAAAATCGCCTAATCAGGCGGGTAAGCGCGCGCGCATTCTAAGAATACAGTATTGTTTTCAACTAATGGACCAGGTGGTCTTTAGCTCTTGGACACGCACCGTGTGGTTGGACTACTATGATATGGGTGAGTTACCCTCTCTCCCTTGTACATGGTTCGAATTCGCTTTTGCCCCCCGGCAAAAAGAAAAAAATTAAACTTTTTGGAAATCTTAGAAAGACCTTTTGTTTTCCGTTCACACTTCCCCAATCTTCACATAATTACACAGAGCTCAGTTGTTTAAAGGACGGATAACGCTATCCAACGGATAAATCGCTATCCAGCTGATAAGTGTTAGCAAAGCCTTCAGCCGAGACCCACCGGAGAGGGATTTACTCAGTGGATATATAGATTTATCCACCTTACGAACTTATCAACTGATTTGAACGTCAATTTCAATTACGAGTCATGGAAAAGATCAACATCAATATGGTTCTAGTACCTTGTCTTCACTTTGTCCTTGGTCTCTGTAGTACTGAAAGTTAACTGTATCACTGCTGTACAGCAGATGATATTTAATCACCCACTCGTCCCAGTCATATCTTCCCTGTGTTGCTACACGTGTCACGCTAACGTACAGATTAGTCATCAGATCGATCTGAAGCCATTGATTGATGTCATTGACCTGAGATATCCAAGTTCTTGGCAACCGTAGTCTCCCGGAAGAAGCAATATTTGAAGCACTGTATTCTGAAGAGGCACTGATTTGCCCTTCTCTGATTCCTTTAGTTTCCATACCGAGGGCAACGAGGCAACGTTCAACTGGAAAAGAATACACACATTTACTTAAGACACAACCAAACCAACCCATTTTTATCGCTTTAAGTCACTCACATTTAAAAATCAAGGGATGGTGACCAACGTCTTTCGATAATGTCATGTTCCCAAACCCAATTCTCCCTTTTTCTGCGACTGATATTGTTTTTTCCTTGCAGGTCTCAATAGCATTTATCAAAAACCATGTACAACAATCCAACGGCACCGCTAAATTGTTTCTGTGTATTTGTCATTCCCATGGAAGAAGACTTCGTCTAGGGGAAGTCCTCTTTTTGTCATAATAAAGCGACAATGAATAAAGCACTCTGGTCAATACACATACCGCTGCGGGGAAAGTAGCTTACCTGCAGCGAAGAACTACCGCTACTATCAATTATGTTCGAAATATCAGTAAACTGTTGGGAGGGTTAATTTGTCATGATAAAATTATTGAATGTCTTAAAAGTATAAGAAAACAAAAGCGTCTTTCGTGTTATTTAAGAACACAATTGTTGCGCTATTACTACTGTTACTCCCCCAATTCAAACTAATCGATTTTAACTCTTCGCAAACATGTTGCAGATTATAATTAGTCAATCTAAGAAATTGTATCAGGGTTCTTAGGGAATTTAGTTACGAAACACTTTCAGTGCATTAGTTCCACTAGAGTATTCATAACTTGCAACGCTTTCGTGGTAAGTTGTGAATTATTTTCTCGTCTTTGTCTCTTAATCGTCAAAAGTTAAGTTACCGGCCTATAACATGTTTGAGCGTAGCTGAGCGTCTTTGAAATTCCGCTCACTGAGTTGACACCATTGTTTTCTTGTTGTCATGCTAATGGTATATGGTTATAGAGACGCGTGCACTTGACAACGATCATTTCGCTATTGTCACTTGACAACAATCATTTGTATGCTCTATATCTTTCCAATAACTACTGTGGTGAACATATTTCTAAACTGACTACACTTATTGTGAACATTTTCGAGAGAAAGGGAATTTTTAAATCACTCAACCAAATTATTTAGCGCGTTGTTAATTTTAATACCGAGAGACGATAAAGCTAAGAGAGCGAGTTCTCAATACTTGGCTGTGTTTATAAGGAAAAGGATGGACAATAAGTAATGTTTGTTTTGGTTCTGATTTTGATGATCCCACAAGTCTAGAGATCACCAATCTTTGACAAAAACTACGTTTGGAGTAAGGCATCGAGTAGCATTTACTTTTTTAGCTTGGCTTCCCGTGATATGGTGTAGCGTTATATATGCCGCATCACTAGTTTGTGTTTTGCAAATAAGCTTTAAGCTTTTTTGAAATGCTGTTTATGATATTTCTGTTCTCTGGTAGCGATATCAGGCCGTTTTTGTCGATTTTTAGCTGAGATCTCGAGCCACTACTGCAAAGTGGAGTCTAAACTGCCATTCAAAGCTTTATAGTAGTATCCTCTTATATAGTGTTTAAACCCTCTGTGAATAGATCCCAAGGTCTCAGTCACCCATTCACAGTAATAAAGGTGTGAAAATTACAAAGTTAAAGCTTAATTTTAAGATTAAATTCACTTCTGTGAGATAATTTACAGTCTATTTATAAAATCTGAGGTAACTAACCAACGGTTTGACACAACTGGCCTGTGAACTCTGGATCACAGTTGCAGACAAATCTTTTCCCGGTCGCCTCACAGTTTTCCAGGCATGTTGCCCCATTAAGACATGGCTGATCTCTGCAACAATTATTAGAGCACTGGGTACAAGGACACGATGAACCTGCCGTCTAGAGGAGAGGGTATATATAATTGTGCTTTTCTTGCATTTATTTGATGCCCTCATGATTCCGTGTACAAAGTAAGAACATTATACTTGCGATTTGATGTCCAAAACTTTACAAAATACATGACATCTAAGCTTTTAAAAGAGTATCTACACGTGTTAAAAGCAAGAAACATCCAGTAATTCTGTCATTCCGGGTCATATACAGTTTTTTCTGTACCATGACGTCATGAAACTTGGTGTTACGGTCCAAATGGCCCACATTTTAGTTCCGTATTTTTGTATCTGATAGTTATGGCCCTTGGGATCCAGTTCACTTGATAAAGCACAGAAAAAGCTTGGCTTCGACATTAGTTTGGGGGGGGGGGGGGGGGGGGGGGGCGGGCGGGAAGTGGAGACGGAAGATTTTGTGGGGATCACATGGTTTCAGGAGGAATGGAGGTGTGATCAGTCATTGCAAATAGCGTATAAAACGGGGATCAGGTAAAGTTTATCGTGACACACCCTCTCCCTCTACCCTACCCCTCTCCCCCCCGTGATAAATAATTACTGGTTGCTTAAAAAATCATAGACAATGTCTCACCGTAACTTTGTAGTCAGTGACAAGATCGTAATACTGAGATCCATTCATTGGCTTTAATGCACCGGGCTTTGTATGTCTGTTTTCTTCATTCAGTTGGCAATTGTTCTGGTTGATACTTTTTAGGAAGTTGAACGAAATACACCGACAGTTTGTTTGGCATGTTTTATAGCATTCCGTCGCTCCTGCCGCTGAAAAATTAGCGAAGACGTGTCCAACCAGGTAGTAGTCGTCTACCATGTTCCTTTCCATGATGAAGGAACATCCGATAAAACCCCCAATACGACACAGACCAGCGGTGAAGACAATCATAAACGCAGACACTATCAGCAGCGGCCTGACGGATTTATGAAAACAGGCTTCAAAGGATTCCCTGTTGAGATGGAAATTTAATAGCTAATAATATGAGGACGACTTTGATGATTTTTACGTATAAATTGGGATTTTGATTCAAATTTATCGGGCCATTCCCGAGAAAAAGCATAAAAATTTTGGAGTGGATAGAGAAAAATAATGTTAGGGAATTAAAAGAAAAAAAAGAGCTGTAGTTTAGGTTTAGTCTTAGAGAATCCGTGTACGAAATCAGAAATAGGTGTAACCCGGGAACAGTTTGGGTTTGATAAATTACTTCGCTGTGTGATTGGTTCAAACAGGTCGCGCACTCAAGCAATCAGATTGAAAAACTAAATTAACATCACGACTTGATCCCTCACTCTTCCCACACTTCAGGTAGCTAGTTTTCATTAGCTCCCCAATAGCTTTTGACATTTCAAGTCCTTTTTTTTTTGTTTTTGTTTTTGTTTTTGATGACTTTGGTTTTAGTTGCACCACATTCAACTGAAATGCACATTAGCATTACTCTTCTTTTCAGGAGTATCATTTCAAACGCTTAGCACAACAGGAAATTTTCCTCCCCTTTGTTAACCATTGACTCTACGGAGTAATCACGTTATATCTTCGCCTTAAAATTTTAACACACTTTCAAGTGGTAAAGTTGTAAAGAATCCTTAAAAAGATAGCACTGTCTACACGTCTCAGAAACCATGTCTACACGTATCAGAAACCATATCAGAAAAACCTTCTCAACTTTATTTATATGGTTTTTCATTATAATGGCACGAGATAAATAATATTTGATGCCTAAGGCGTTTGGTGAGTTGTTTACGTTGGTTTTTTCTGTCTGATTTCCACATCTAGTGCAGATTTTTTAACTCAACTACTTTTTGAGAATTTTGTTAATTCGTGTACTGGATTTCAGCGTAGCTGAATGAAAATTATTTCTAAGTTGTCGATAGTTGGCATAAAAGACACCAATTTCTTAATCAACCAAAATTTTACTAACTTATATCGCAGTTAAGTCAAACTCGATTGTTAAAGTATTTAGAATTATTCAGGATGAAACGATAGACAGAGGTATTGAGAGAAAAAAGAGGATAATAGCTTAACGAGCCCAAAGCTAACCAAAGTCATAGTTTACTTACATTGCAAAGTCGTAAGAATCCTGCTTTGATATCTTTATTGCTAGGTCTCCGGTGAACACCTTTCTTAAACGAAGGATAAATGTTTTCAAAGCATATTTAATTTATTTGTGACATTAATGTGCTTGATAAAAGGAGTGCGACAGGTGCAATCCAATTAGCACCAACAGTTAGGAAAACACACCCGTACACTGTTCTTAAACCTCATCACTACAGACTCGTATTACAATCGACGAAAATTCTATTTAACCTAGTAACGAAGATAAAACAATCTGTCTTATTTACAAATTGTTAGAAGGAAATTTTTTTATCTTCTTTGAATCTATTTAAAGCTTCATCATTTTAAAAAACCTTACCATACAAGCTGATAAAGATCTATAGTGTATAATCCCGTAATCATCCGGCACCCGTGATTTCCATCCCTCCATTGTTTCAATTCAGTAAACCTTTGACACTGATTTCGATTCATTTTAAAAGAAAACGTAAACGTTAGTGGAATGTACGTTTCCTCAGTTCAAGGACGCAACTACTAACATTGTTTATCTTCTCCATCTTTTCCTCTTTGTTCACCTTTTCTATTTCAATATTTTCTGTAAACCTCTCTTTTAAACCCACTTTGGTTTTTTGGTTCACTTCAACTTGACGATTTATCTATTTTAAAATCGGAATTTCACTTAGATCAATACCACTGAAACAATGGTTTAAAAATACAGACAAAGCATTGAAGTAACATAGATACTATTCATACCTTTTTCACACGGGCTCTTCAAATTCTGCATGCAATTTACTTAAAAACGTAGACGGACGAAGTACTCTAACAGCCAAAAGCTTCCTCGTCGAAAAAGCCTCCAAATAGGATAGCTTAATAACAGTTCATAATTCCAAATTGTCATCAGCTGGTTGAACAACAGTTTAACAAACTCCGGGTATTTAATTGTCTCAAATTAGTTCCCATGGAATCCCTTGTTCAACCTGTTTTGCCATTAAGTGTGTTGCAAGTTATAACCACTGATCAACTTTCTCCACAAGAGATCAAAAATATTAATATTAACAATGAAAATACAATCGTTTGTTTAACAAGACAATTTCCTGAGATAGGGTGGAATTTCTCATAAATTATTACTCTTTTTGGAACGGACAACCTAATTAACTTTGTTATGGGATGTTTTTACGGAGTGCAACGAGACTAAGGAATGACAGACAATATTGACGAGTCGACTAAGAAATTATCTATTACGGATGAAGTAAAAACAGGGTCCTACTCTTATTTCTCTCTCCCCTTTTCTATCAATCTAGAATTCATGTTAAAAGCACAGGGAAACCATTTCACTGCCAGCTATTGGGTAAAAAACCACAGAACAAGGCAGAGTTGCCATTTCGCCACTAGGAAAATTTCTAATCTTCAAAACGGGAGCAAAGTCATAAATTAATCATATTTTTAAGAAAAAGCAATCCTTGTGGTGAGAAAGTGAATGTGTACATTACTACCTAAAGGAAACTTCAGCCGCGCAGTAATCATGCAATAAAAATGGTAGTGTAAGATCGTTTACGAAGATGATTCACAATTGCCAAAATGGCCCTAAACGTAAAAATTCATTATTAGAAAAAATAAGTCTCATGGCCCCCAATCTAACCTTTCGAAAACTTCAACGTCGGAAAATTTTACAGGAAATTTTTGATCTCAAAAGTTGCCACCAAAAGTAATAAGTTTTATTCTTACAGAAAAAATAGCCCGGTGACAAGAGCGTACATGATCCCAAACATAACCTAGTTAACATGTGAATTGTTGATAATTAAATATCTCCATTGACTTGTAATATAGCACATACCCTTCCCATAAAAAGTTCTGTACCACTATTCAAATTCATTACAAGATATACTCCATGTGTATTTAAATGTTCAGTTTTCGATAACTTGTGATGTAGCATATACACTTACCCATACAAATCTCCGTAACGGTATTCTTATTTGTTTTAAGATATACTCGGTTTTATCACCTTAATTACAAGGTTTGTTGTTGACTGAAAAAAAAATCTCTCAAATGGTGAGGGGGTTACAGGTTGCAGGACCTCGCCTTTGTCTAAACTTCAGAAAATCACACGCTGTGAGCAGTTCAATCTTCTTAAAGTGCACCTCATCTTTAGTTCTCTGTTTAGAAAAAAAAAAAGACATGATTTAGGAGTTCTCAAGTCAACCACTTTAAAATTGCTTCAAGGGGTAATCACTCTCTTAATTCTTATGCAGCTAACGGTAAGCCACAAGAGACACTTGGGTACTTTCCCGAATTTCCAAAACCACGTGCACTTGTGCGGGCAAAGCGTAGTGCGAACGTCAGATTCAGAGCAGTCAAAGTTTTCTTGTTAGTTTTGAACTAAAATGGAGCATCTTCTTAAGATTCCCTATAAAAGTAAACAATTCCATTACATTCGTTGCTGGGCAAAGGTAATTTGCAACTCAATTTCATTCCTTTTCTATCATTTTTTCATATGAAATTTTTATATTTTGTCGCAACAAGCCGACTTGCAAACGATTCGTTTTCTCGTCGAATTTTTCGCCATGTACTGCCTCCTAGATTTAAAGTTCTTTTTGTGTCCTGCTGAGGAAATTACGACTTTTTAAAGTCATGTTAAAACGAAAGACAGTCAAGATATTCCTTAGCCTGATTATTACCGATCGGCAAGAGCCTTAGGCAACGCGAGTCGTTTAGACGTTCGCAGGGGGTCCAATCCTGGTGATGATTATTTCTGCCAGGGCCCCGGCAAACGTCTCCCCGACTTGTCCCCAATCTTCTCGGAGGTGGAAAAACGCTTATCTTCGCTTGCAGCGCTAATAATGAGAACTTGCTCACGAGCTACATACTTCTTATTATTTGTTCTTAGAAAAGTTCAAAGGCCCAACCTCAATTTTATTACTGTCAAGCCTTTAGACTGATATAGTGGTATGACTGTCAAGCCTTTAGACTGATATAGTGGTATGACTGTCAAGCCTTTAGACTGATATAGTAGTATGACTGTCAAGCCTTTAGACTGATATAGTAGTATGACTGTCAAGCCTTTAGACAGATCTAGTGGTATGACTGTCGAGCCTTTAGACTGATATAGTGGTATGACTGTCGAGCCTTTAGACTGATATAGTGGTATGACTGTCGAGCCTTTAGACTGATATAGTGGTATGACTGTCAAGCCTTTACGCTTATCTAGTGTTTTTATTTGTCCAACATTATATGTTCTTAACTAATTTGAATTAATTGATAGGACTTCTCAACTCAGCGGAATAGAGCCTCTGGTGAATTAAAAGCAGACTATGAAACTGAACACCAATTTTGACGGATATGAAATGACTTGAGACAAGAGATTATAAGCTGTCTATCTCTCTTGCTTAAAAAAAAATGACAATAAAATAAAAATTATATTACCATGACAACCGTACACTTCCGCTCTCATTGATGCATGCGCGTACCAGGTGATGATTTGAAAACGGATATATCGCGTCGTGATTGGTGGAATGAGGTCATGTGATACAACAGTGTGACTATCAGTGTTTCCAGCAAATTCCTAAGTAAGCAAAATATAACATGTTCTTTTTCCTATGTCTATTTCGGTTATCGCCGCATGGTTGGCTCCTACAACCATGCCGTTTGATAGAATTTGTTTTTTTTTTAATCTTTTAATGTATTCTCTCAAAATCAAATTCACCCAGCGGGTTTGCCCCATCCTGACAATGACGCTAACGTATAGTCAGCGTTCTTAGTTACAGCTAATCTTTACGCGAGAACACGAACCCACCTTAGTTGCATTTTGTTGCTCTTGTCCTTTGTAGTATTGGAAGATACCAGTGTCATTATTGGCGTACAGCAGCGAATATTTTGTTACCCATTGATTGTGGTTATGTCTTCCTTGAGTTGCCACCCGTGTTATTCGGGTGTTGTGCTTCAACAGATCAATCTGTAGCCAAGGATAGACATCGCTAGGGAAAGCGACCCAAGCCCCTTGCTTGATGTGATTTCCCATGAAGTTCAATCTGCCTTGTACGGAGGCATGATCAATATCGTATTCCGAAGAGGCACTGATCTGTGCGTCAGTTATTTCACCATTCTCCATACCAAGAGCACGATTGCAATCTAAATGGTCGATGAATTAGTTATAATATGAAGAGTGTATCCCTTTCTATTAGTGGAGGTTATGTGGCCGAGTGGTTGGGGGCACTTGGCTCGAAATATTTATATATTTATATATATGCATATAAAAAATATAAATTATGCAGAACATTGCCCAGTCGAGCTGTATAAGAGATATTTGTCTCACGTGCCTAAAGAAATTAATGATTACGCATTTTATTCGCTTGCTTTGCCCAAACCGAGAGGAGAAGTGTGGCATTACATTAACCCAATGCGAAGAGAAAGGATAGGAAATGTAGTAAGGAAATCACGACGAAGGCAGGATTTGAGGGGAATTTCACAAACCAGTCTCACAGGTGAAGTTCCGCCACGCGGTTGTACCAAAGCGGTGTACCAGAACAAGTTAATGTAGAAACCACAGGTCACTGGTCAATTGTTGAAAAGGATGTCGAGGGAAAAGACAAAGAGTTGTTTGAGAATCATGTTAAACACAATGAAGAGAAAAAAATGAGAGTAAACGCGTAAGCTTTTGAGGAAAAGAACAATGTAGAGCACTAGAATCAGTCAGTCGAAGTTAGAACCAATATTAGTAAAATTGTTATTTCATATAAGAAAGAAATTTTGCTGCTGTAAGATGTGTAATTGTAATAAATAAAGCAATAAAACAATAAAATCGAAAGCGTTCGCGGCTGCAATATTAAAAATACTGCTTGTGACCAACGCACCAGCAATAAATTTGAGAGGAATTTAATTCTTGATGACATGGTCGAACTTTTCTAGTTACACGCCATTGCCAGTGGTTCCTAAATAGAGTATTACGAACATAATACATCAAGAACGGAACGACTAATTACAAGATTGGAAATAACAAGAAATACGTATAACATAGGCAATACTAATAACATAAGGAACACGGGATACTCGATAATAGAGCAATTTACTTGACGATTTTGAAATACGGCTGCATAAGAAAGTACTTGCGGTGACCTTCTACTCGAGCTAACACCGTTATATTTGCATGATTCGCGCGAAAGTCAAACTTATATGGATAGCCGCGCGGACTGGGGCTAGTAGGGGGATTGGTTTCTACACTGCTGGATATTGGATGTACCATTATTATTATTATTATTATTACTTTTATTATTTCTAGCCCGTTTAGAAGTACCCCTGATAAGGGCGCACAATAGGATTTTACTGGGATCGGTAATTATATATATAAATGTACTGTCCAGCCAACGGGTAATAATGACAAAAAGGCTTTTGGCGATAGAAGGTTATCTATGATAAAACATTTGCACAACGAAATGTATAAAAGTCAATAAGGGGAGTATTCATCACACACTGAAACCTATACTTCGGTCAGGGTCTTTAGGGTCCATAACCAGTTAGAAAATTATCTTATAAATAAAAAAAAATAGGCTCATTCGAAAAGGGTTCATTAGAACTGAGACTTTTAAGAATTCTCTCTTACAGAAGCCAGAAATTTTCTTTTAACTTGACCTAATTGAGAGAACACTTACTTGGCACCCTCTAACTACAAAATGTTTTCATTGGCTCAAAAGAATTTCTTTGTTAATCAGGTGAGAGTAATAAATCATTATGGCTCCCCAAGGACTGCCTAGTTGAAGTTCAATAGCCACTCCTTAGAAGATCTCTAAAACTATAAATAAGTGCATTCATACCACTTTCACACAACTGGCCAGTATATTTGACAGGACAATCACAGATGAATCGTTTTCCAGTCTCCTGACAGTTTTCCCGACACGTTCCTCCATTCAGACACGGCTGATCTTTGCAGCATTTGTTATAACACGAGGCACAAGCCTATACAACAATGACAGAAAAGTTTCTAATATCCCTCTGAAATGGAAATCTAGGGACTTGTAATTATTCGTCGCCTGGGGGAAGGGGCTCAGAGGATTTTTTGGGGGGGGGGGAAACTAGATTGTGTTCAGGTAGGACATAGAAGGGGGATGAACCGTCTCAAACTGAGTTTGAAGGGGGGGACTATGGTATATTGAGAACCTATGGAGGGGGACTGGGTCATTAGAATACTACAGACAACGCAAGAGAAATGAGGTTAATTTCAGTTTGACAAAACCAAATTCATCTCACAACCACCACCTCCCCCACTACGCCCCTTGCTTTGCCATTTTTGCTCTCACTATGTTTCTGCTTCTTTTTCTTCCGCAATTTTGAAGGTTATTTTAATCGGTTTTCTACACATAAAAATCCTTGTTTCTTGTTAAAAATATATTGGGGTCTAAGTATGAATGGCGTTAAATACCTCTTTACACAGCAAGGGAAAATATTGTTGAATCATTTTTAACCAACCCTATATTCAATAACCATGTCGTAGTACATCCAACCATCCATTGGTTTCAACGCATCAGGCTTCAGATGTCTGTTTTCTTCATTCAGTTGACAGTTGTCCTGGTTGGTATTTGTCAAGAAGTTGAACGAGATGCACCGACAGTTTGGTCGGCATGCTTTGTAACAATCCATCACTCCTGCCACGGAAACATTTGCAAACACGTAACCAATCAGGGCATTTCCATCCACCATGTTCTTCCCAATGATAAAGGAAAAGCTAGTGGAACACTGACCAATACTGCAAGAACCCATGGCGACGTTTTTAGATATTCCAACAGTTGAGAAAAAAACAAATAGAAACCTGTGGAGAAAAGCCTCAGGATATTATTTTCTTTTCCCCGCTGGTGACAAGACTTTAGCTTCTTCCTTTCTTTCAACTTTGCGAATAAGCTTGTAGTTGATGGGTAAAGTTTATGGTGTAACATTTTAATTATTTCGTTATTCGGTGGTATTCTGAATTTTGAAATAAAGAATATACTAAGTTTAGAAGCGTTCAGCCAAAGTACAGAAGCTAGTTGGTAAAAGAATAAGTCTGTACCCAAGCCAAGTGGCCTATCCAGCCCGAGCGTATCCCGGTTTCCACGTAGCATGAAGCGACTAAGAGTCTATCCACGCTTCCCTGAACGGGATGCAAATTCATCGCAAGATTACCTTCCCGCATTTAATTCGGCATCCCTGACAATTGGTCGCGACCCATTTATACTCCTACGTGGAGGGAGGCACTGCTAAAGGTAAAGTGTTTTACCCAAGCACAATGAACCGGTTGGTCTCGACCTGAAGAATAGGGCTCCTATTATTAAACTATTGGGCGTGTCTTATATGAAAGCTAGTTGATCAACATATTTTTTTGTTCACGACTCTCTGTCACAACTTAGATCAGTCGATACCTTGTCTTACTGAAAAAATAGTGTGCTGCAAGTTTACAAATACTTTTAGTAGGTTGACAACGAATTTGATCAGAGAACACATTCTCCTATCGTGAATCTGTTGTTAAACAGATTGTTTTTTTATTGCCACGGTCCAGTCATTATTTATGGCCGGGGAGAAGTTTGGAGGACTTTGATTATGTCTCGACAAATTTACCTGATCATATCTGCCATAACTATAGGTCATAACATGGCTTCGAGTGCAATTTGGAGTAAATAAGCACGAGTAAATTTTTCAAAGAAAACAAATTGCACGAGCCCGTATAGGGCAAGCAATTTATTTTGTCTTAGAACTGTTTGCTTAACCCTGAGTTATCGGCCGACTCTTTTCATGATTTGCTACGAAACTGCGAAGCTAATTTGTTCTGCCGTTGGTCACACCTCAGGAGTATCATTTCAAACGGATAGCACAACAGGAAATTTTCCTCCCCTTAATTAACCTTTCACCTGCGGAGTAATCACGGTATATCCTCGCCATAAAATTGTCTACACACTTTTAAGTGGAAAAGTTGTAAGGAATCCTTGAAAAAGATAGCAGTATCTACACGTATCAGAAACCATATCAGAAAAATTTTCCCAATATTATTCATATGGTTTTTTCATTATCAGGGCATGAGATAATTAATGTTTGATACCTAAGGTGTTTGGTGAAATGTTTACATTCGTTTTACCTGTCTGATTTCCGCCTCCAGTGCAGATTTTGTTACTCAACTACCTTTTGAGAATTTTGTTAATTCGTGTACTGGATTTCAGCGTAGCCGAATGAAAATATTTCTTAGTAGTCGATAGTTGGCCTAAAATAACCAATTCTTAATCAACCAAAATTTTACTAATTTAGATCGTAGTTAGTCAAACTCGATTGTTATAGTATTTAGAATTACTTAGGATAAAACGATACACAAAGAAATTGAGAAAAAAAAAAGTATTATGGCTAAACCAACCCAAAGCTAGCCAAAGTCATAGCTTACTTAAAAAAGCCTTCCCAACATTATTAATATGGTTTGTCATTAGTATGGCATGGGATAATTAATATTTGATAACTAAGGCGTTTGGTGAGTTGTTTACGTTCGTTCTACCTGTCTGATTTCCGCCTCCAGTTAAGATTTTATCTTTCAACTTCAAAACAGTGCTCTTTACTTTTGTAAATTTTGTTGATTCGCAAACTGGATTTCAATGTAGCTGAATGAAAATCTCTCTAAATAGTTGATAATTGCCATAAAAGACACCAATTTCTAATTAACCAACACTTTCAAGTACTAACTTATATCGCAGTTTAGTCAAACTTAAGCTAACTTAATTTTTACAGTATTCAGAATTACTAACGATAGAGCGATAGACTGAAGGAAATAGAGATGTAATAGATGTAAATAGGTAAATGGTTTACGTTGAAGTATCCTTCGAGAATCAAGCATTTGATTCTGTCTGACGCATGGGGATTTGCTATTTTACCCGCTGGAATTGTAGACAGACACCCAGTAGCTTACTTACATTTCAAAGTCGTAAGAATCCCGCTTTGATATCTTTACTGCAAGGCCTCCGGATGAACGCCTTTCCTAAACGAAGGATAAACGTTTTCAAAGAATATATAATTTATTTGTGACATCAATGTGCGTGATAAAGGAATGCTACAGGTTCAATCCAATTAGCAATTAAACTTAATTACTACAGACCCGTATTACAATCGATGAATACTATTTATCCTAGAAACGACTTTAAAAAGTGTGTCTTATTAACAAATTGTTGGAAACAAAATGTTCACCTTCAATGAATATATTTAAAGCTTTATAATGAAAAAAAAAAAAAAAAAACATCCAAGCGGATTAAGATCTATCTTGTATCATCCCGTAATCGTCCAGCAGCCGTGATTTCCGTCCCACCATCGCTACAATTCAGTAAGCCTTTGACATTGATTTCGATTCATTTTAGAAAGAAAGAAAAAAAGGAAAAACGTAAATTTTAGTGGAATGTACGTTTCATCAGTTCAAGGACCGCCACTTTATACATTTGTCTATCTTTTCATTTTCAGCCATCTTATTCCCTCTTTGTTCACCTTTTCTATTTCAATATTTTTCCCTAAAACCATTTTTAAATCCACATTTTGGTTCACTTTAACTTGACGAAGTGTCGTTACGTGATCCATTTTAAAATCGAAATTTCACTTGGATCAATACATTGAAACATATAGACAAAACATTGAGGTACAATGGACAATATTGATACCTTTTTCACACTGGCTCTTTAAATTCTGCTTGCAATTTATTTTAAAATGTAGCCGGATGAACTACTCCAACAGCCACCAGCTTCCTCGTCAAAAAAGGCCCCAAAGATGATGGCTTAATGAAAATTCATAAGTCCAAATCAAAATCAGCCGGTCGAACAACAATCAAACGCACTCTGGGTATTTCACTGTCTCAAAGGAGTATCCACAGAAGCCCTTTTTCAGTCTGTTTTGCCATTTTAATGAATTGCAGGTCATTACCACTAATTAACTTTCTCCACAGGAGATAAAGAAATAATACCTAAGTACAACCGTTTGCCTGACAGGATATTTTTTCGAGAGAAGGTAGAGTGTCTCGTTAATTTTTAATCTTTTGCAACGAACAACCTGATTAACTTTATTATTGGTTTTTTCACTGAGTTCAGCGAGGCGAAGAAATATCAAACGATATTGACAAGTCGACTATGAAGTTATCTATCATGGATGAAGTAAATACAGGGTCATACTCCCCTTTCTCATAATCATAAGCATTTCACTTATTATCTGGGAAAGGTGAGAAAAATATTTTGGGGGCCACGGTTTTAGCTAAAACCGTGGCTCCCAAAATATTTTTCTCACCTGGCCCACAAAATTTTCAAATTTTTCACAACTTCGCCTGTTCCTGTTCGTATGTCCGGCAAAGCCTTTATGGTCACTGGCCCCCGTATAGCCGCTAGCTGTGACTTATAAATACAGGCATTTAGTTTTAACTTGTAAAACTCCCTGACGAAGTCTACGACACTAGAAAAAATGCGTCAGAGAATAAAGAAGTTTTACAACTACTGTTCGCAAAGTGCTGCTCACTAGTTCGGTTTTAAAAAAATTGTGTGAAGAAATTTAGAAAAAAAATAATTTAAAAAATTAATTTTTATTTAAAAAAACTGTTAAAAAAATGTTTAAAAAAAAACTGTTAAAAAAAATAATGAAAAAATTGATTAACTTTATTATGGATTTTTTCACCGAGCGCAGTGAACCGAAGGAATAGCAAACGATATTAATGAGTCGACTACGAAATTATCTATCACGGATGAAGTAAATACAGGGTCCTACTCCCCGTTATCATAATCTAGGCATTTTACTTTAGGCTAGAACGAAATTCCCCAGTCTAGAATTGATTGTAGGAGCACAGGAGGCCATTCTACTACCACCTCTCGGTTAAAAACACACACAGCAAGACAGTGTTGACATTTCGCCCCTTGGAAAATTACCAGTCTTCAAAACGGTGACAAAGTCATAAATTAATCATATCAAAAAAAAGGAATCCTTGTGGTGAGAAAGTTCATGTTTACATTACTACCTAAAAAAAACTCCAGCTGCACAATAAATGGTGAAATAATACCTGGGCGCGCTAGATATGGAATTTCTCTTCGAGTATTTAACTCGATAGCTCACGAGTAAGCGCAGAGAACGAATGAGATGTCTGTTTAAAAACGAGAAGAAAAATTTCATATCTACAAGCAACCATGTATTATTTTGTTTGTCATATAAACACAATAGTCCTTCACTGACAAGAAAAGTTGACTTCATTAATAAATGACAATAAAAGGATCGACTATCCCCGAATAAAAATCGTAAAGTGTGTTGGCGCACTCAAGATGAAATTACTACAAAGGCAAACAATGGGCCTAATTTTCAACATATAAAATTTTCAGCTATTGAATTGGTCCTTACCGACAGAAGAAATATTTCAGGTACATGCCAAAATCGGCCTAGGGTAAATCTTCTAGTGCTCGATTTTCGTTCTCAGCGGTGAAAAATTCCATTACCAAAGGCACTGAATATGTAGGTTTCGGTTTTTTTTTTTTCGTATTTTGGTTTTCTTCCTCTCCTAGCAAAGTTTGAACGTCACTGTCTGTTAGCGGTACGGATTTTTTAGTGTTTAGCAGCCATAAATTGAAAAAATTTTGACAAACGACCTTGGATTGGGAATGGTGAAGGCTTTGCCGTTTATTCATCAACCAGACGAAGTGGTGCGAAAGGGGACTGACGTGTCAGTAGCTGATCGGCGATATCAAACACACTTGAAAAGAATTCGTTTTTTTTCCCGCGTGTTGTTACGGCTTTTCTCA